TCAGTGCTTTTACATGCTGAGGATCTTTCCAGCACCAGGAAGATCTTTCTTTCCTTCCTTCTGTCCTTCCTTTCTTCTTGCTTCCTTCCTCCCTCTCTCCCTCCCTCCCTTTCTTTCTTTCTTTCTTTCTTTCTTTCTTTCTTTCTTTCTTTCTTTCTTTCTTTCTTTCTTTCTTTCTTTCTTTTTTTTTTTGAAACAGAGTTTCTCTGTATAACAGCCCTGGCTGTCCTGGAACTCACTCAGTAGGCCAGGCTGGCCTGGAACTCAGAGATCCACCTGCCTCTGCCTCCTGAGTGCTGAGATTAAAGGCCTGCACCACATTCAGCACAATCTTATTTTTTCCTAAGATTTAATGTGTATGAGTGTTTTGCCTGTATGTATGTCTGTACCCCATGTGTGTACTTGGTGCCTACAGAGGTCAGAATAGGACATCATATCCCCTGGAACTCGATCTGATGTGAGCCTTCATGTGCGTGCTGGGTGCTGAATCGGAGCCCTCTTTAGAACAGCCTGTGCTCATAGCCACTTAGTTATCACTCCAGCGCATTTGCTTAATCTTTAAACCTTGTTACAAATTGTATCCTGTAGGGACAGAGTGAATCATTGAGTGTGTTAGATTTCTGAGGCAGCATAAACAATCAGGAGGCTCAGACACACAGAGAGGGGTAGCCTCTCCCCCTCTGGGAAATGGAAGGGTCTGCCAGGGAGAAAAGCTAGCTGGGACCCTTTACAGAGCCTCGGGAATGGGAACCTTGATGCGGCTGTGGGGGTTATTTTGAAACTTGAAGTCTTTCTTCCCTAGAGTTGTTTGCTTTGGACAAGATTATCTTGGGACACAGGCTCTCTCTGCAAACATTCTTAACTGGGTTTAGTAAAGTTGAGCAAGGTCAGCTATAATCTCTCTTAATTTTTTTTAATTTTTATTTTATGTGCATAGGTGTTTTGTCTACATGTGTATCTGTGTTAAGATTCCTGGAGCTGGGGGCTGGAGAGATGGCTCAGCGGTTAAGAGCACTGACTGTTCTTCCAGAGGTCCTGAGTTCAATTCCCAGCAACCACATGGTCACAACCACCTTGAATGAGATTTGGTGCCCTCTGCTGGCATGCAGAAGATTGTATACATTAGAAATAAATAAAAAAGACAGAATCCCCTGATACTGATTCTCTAAAAAAAAAAAAAAAAAGATTCCTGGAGCTGAAGTTACAGACAGTGGTTAGCTGCCACATGGGTGCTGGGAACTGAATCCAAGTCCTCTGGAAGAGCAGCCAGTGCTCTTAACCAGTGAGCCATCTATCTCTCCAGTCCCTTGGTGTAATCTCTTAAAAATCCTGTTTTTGGTCTACAGAGCAAGTTCCAGGACAGGCTCCAAAGCAATACAGAGAAACCCTGTCTCAAAAAACAAAAAGAATCCTGTTTTATTTATTTATTTTTTTACCAAGCAGGAGGCACTTTATCAGAGTGAGTTTGCTGTTTATCTGGGCATGGCCATATCAAGGACTCATGGGGAGGCAGGTTCAACAGGATGGCAAAGCCTTCCTCCAAAGGGCAAATGCTGTCATTGTTTGCAGAAAATGTCCACTCCCACATGCTTACAGCCTGCAGACCGACCTCTTACAGAATGTTCCTCATGATTAGCTAAACCTGTCTCCTTGTTTATCTGGTGTAATAACCCCACCTCCTTGTTCAATTGAAATAAACATGCTCATCTTTTGGAGTGCTTGAGCTAGATCCAACCCCAGTCTTTCGCTGTGCAGGATGAGGCAGCATCCTTGTGAGGAATGTGGCTTGGCAAACCACATAAAGCCACTGTAAAGAAATCTACAAGTGACTTTTTTTTTTTTTTTTTTTTTTTTTTTTTTTGGTTTTTACGAGACAGGGTTTCTCTGTATTGTTTTGGAGGTTGTCAGTCCAGCCTGGCCTCGAACTCAGAGATCCGCCTGCCTCTCTGCCTCCCGAGTACTGGGATTAAAGGCGTGCACCACCACCGCCCGGCCAAATGACTATTCTTTAAGTAGCCCACACCCAGGTCCTGGGATGTCTATTGTTCTTTTCCTATGTAACTGTCTCAATACTTCATAAACTCACTAACTGCTTCATTCTGACTCATACTAAAATTCCTTCCTGGAGCAGTCAAGGATTTGACCCTTACCTAGCAGCCATCCCCAACTCTGAAAGGAGCACCTCAGGGTGCTGGTGGCTGTGTTGGGACATCCTCTACCACGACTGACAGATCTTTAATTTTACTTGAGCGCTCTGGGTTGTTTGTTTGGTAGGACTAAAGGATTGTCAATCTTGTCTTTTCAAAACCAACCACTGGCAGTTTCATTAACCCTTTGTGTTCCTCTAGGCTCCATTTCTTTAATTCCTATCCCGTTCTTTCCATCTACGCATTTGTGGGTGAACTTTTTTCTAAGCATCCAGATGCATGAAATCACAACCTCATAAATGCTAGGCAAGAACTCTACCATTTAGCCACATCCCCATGCCCAATTTTTAGGAATTTTTAAATGTTCCTGTTCAGTTGGAACCTCCAGCTCCTTCCTGTCTGTCTTCAAACCCCACCCACTCAGAGAACCTCTGAAAGATGGGTAACAAAAAGCCAAGTTTCGAATTATTGATGGCTACTGCAGCTTCCTCCCCTGAAGCCACCAGTCACCCAAGTCCCTGCCTAAATGCTCAGCTTTTGACCAGACTTGGGCACAAACCTGGCTTGTGGCGGACACCTCATCACCCCTCTCCTACAACCTATAAAATCTGTTTTTGTTTGTAGGCAAGGCTTCTCCAGCCTTGACCTCTGGCACTGGAGAACACACCTTGGAGTTGCTTTGCTCAAATAAACCTGTTGTTATACTTTTTCAATTTGTCTTGATCCGATTATTGAGTCAATGGAGAAACCTATTATGGGGTTAGGGGAGCAGAAAACCTATTAGTCCTCTTGAATTTCTTCAATGAACATTGGTCATTCTGAAATCTATTGTTCAATTTCCATGTATCTGAATAGCTCCTTTGTTTGAGACAGGGTGTCTCTAAGACCCTTCTGTAGAACAGACTGGCCTTGAACTCAGAGATCCTCCTATAAGTGTCTCCCAAATACTAGGATAAAAGGTGTGCACCATCTCACCTGGCCTGTACAGTTTCTGTAATCTCTTGTCTTTTATCTTGTTTGATTTCCACTCTGATCTTAGAAAATACAAAAAACAAAAACCTCACCAACCAACCAAACCAAAACCAAAAACGCAGGTCACTGAGATGGCTTGGTGGGTGAAGGAAGGCACTTGTCCCCAAGCCAGACAACCTGATCTCAATGCCATGACCCACACAGTGGAAGGGAGTGACCTCTGCCAGGTCACTGTTGTACTGTTGCATGTGCTCCCGCACTGGCCTTCATGTAGACACACACAATACAGTAAGATTCATTTTGAGAGACACAAAAGTTTGTACTAATTATTCTGTTATTTGTTAAGGCTAGCTTTCAGACTAAGAGGTGACTTAGTTTAGAGAAGATACCATGGGCTGCTGAGAACATGTAATCTATAGCTTTGGGCTGGAATTTTGTACAGTATAGATGACCTTTAAATGTAACCCTGAATTTTTCTTGTTTATTTTTAGTCTGGATGCCATAGCTACTGGTAAGACTGGGTATTGAACTCATTTATTATTATTGTACCTGGACCCATCTGTCCTTTTATACCCATGAGCACTTATGAAACTGAAAGGCCCAATAAATTTGGTGCATATATATTTACAATCATTCTATTTTCTTTATTAATACATACTGACTTTTTTTTTTTTTTTGGTTTTTGGAGACAGGGTTTCTCTGTGTAGTTTTGGAGGCTGTCCTGGCACTCGCTCTGTAGACCAGGCTGGCTTCAAACTCAGAGAGATCCGCCTGCCTCTGCCTCCCGAGTGCTGGGATTAAAGGCGTGTGCCACCAACGCCCGGCACATACTGACTTCTTGACCTCATCCTTTTACATTCAGTCTGTGTATGTCATTGCCAATGAGGTGTTTATTAGAAACCAAATTTAATTTTTTTCTTTTATTTAAAGACACAGCACTTGCAAGGTAGAAACAGGCAGATCTCTGTGAGTTTGGGGCAGCCTGGTCTACATAGTAGTTCCAGAGCTACAGAAACCTTGTTGGAAAAAAAAAAGGCAAGAGTCTCACTATGTCACCGTACTTGCCTCTTCCTCCTGAGTGTGCTGGGATTATATGCATGCTCCCCTTGCCTGACTCTAGTTCCAGAGCATTGACTGCTATTTTAGAGAGGCTGTTGCTTGAGTCCCCAAACCCACATGGTGGCTCACAACCATCTGTAATTCCAACACCTTTTTCTGGCCTCTGCAGGCACCAGACATACACGGGCCAAATACCCATACGCACATAAGAAAGCTAAGTAGGGCTAGGTGGTATACACCTTTAGCCCCAGCACTGGGGAGGGAGAGGTAGGTGAACCTCTATGAGTTTGAGGCCAGCATGGTCTACAGAGGAGTGAGTTCCAGGACAGCCAAGGATACACAGAGAAACCCTGTCTCAAAAAACAAACAAGCAAACAAACAAAACAACAACAAGCTAGCTAAGCTTGAGCCAGAGTGAACAAGCCAGTCAGCAGCACTCTTCCATGGTTTCTGCCTCTGCTATTGCTTGAATTCCTTCCAGGAATTCCCTTAGTGATAGACCTGAAAGTGTAAGGCAAATAAATTCTTTCGTCCCCAAGTTGCTTTTGGCCATGGTGTTTATCCTAGTAGCAGAAAGATAACTAGCACAGCTCCTCTCATGCATGCTATTTTTTTCTGTGCTCTTGTGATCGACACTATCTTCCTCCTCTGTGTTTAGGGTTCCTTCTAAGTACCTTCTGCAGTGCTGACTTAATGTTCATTAACTGCTTTAATTTGTACTTCTCTTAAAATGTCTATGCCTCCATTATAAAAGATAATTTTGCTGGACATGGTGTTCCTTTATTCTATCCACCAGTTGGATACAATGATTCAAACCTCATCTTAGAACAGTAGGGTACATTTATTTTAACTAGTATTCAATTTTTCGTAATATTTGGAATAGAATCACTCAAGAAATTCTTCTGCCTCTGCCTCTGAGGAATTAAAAGTATGCAACAGGATACCGTCAGGTTTGGTTTCTTGACATTATCCCAAAGTTCTTGTAAGCTGTGGTTATGCATATACATTTTTTTTTGTTCTTTATTGCTAACTATAGTATTCTTTGGCCTTGTCTTCCAATCCTGGTAAGTCTTTACCAATGGTCTGTTAATTGGCAGTACTTTCATTTCTAACATTTATGTTCTTCATCCAAAACATGCCTTGCTGTGAGTTTTGCATCCACATTGCTAAATTTGTTCAAGTCCTGAATTATTTTCTTCCTTTGTCTCCTGTTGTCTTTGAAGTTATTATTTTTACAAGTAAACTTAACTTTTTTAAACACACTATGTGCCCATTGTTAAGATAAAAACAATTATGAGTAGATAGGTATGTCTGCATGTGAGTGCAGGTGCCCACAAGGGAGCAGCATCGTCAACCCCCGGGGCTGTGATGTGGGTGCTGGGAGTTGAATTCAGATCTTCTGGAAGAAAAGCAAGTGCTCTTAACCACTCAGCCTTTGCTCTACTCCACTTCTGAATTCTTCCTCTGGCACTTTACCCGAATTCAGTATCTTGGATCTGGCAGTGGAGCTGTTATGTTCCTTTAGAGGGATCATGCCACCTTGTTTTTCTTGTTTGTTGGTTCTGATCTGTGAGTCTGTTGGGACGGATGTGATCTCCATCTGAGGACTCAATCCACAAGTGTTCCTCAGAAAAAAACGTAACAGCTGAACAACCAACCAACAACAATAGCAAGTCAAAGCAGACACAGAAATGCACTTTAGCTGGGAGGTGGTGGCACACGCCTTTAATCCTAGCACCCAGGAGGCAGAGGTAGGGAGATCTCTGAGTTTGAGACCAACCTGCATTACATATCTAGTTCTAGGACAGCTAGGACTACAAAATAGTGAGACTGTCTCAAAAAAAAAAAAATAGGGCAAGGGTAGAAACAAGAATTGAGTGAATGAAATGAAGGGTCCAGGAATATGGAAATATAAAATTGTAAACCCAAACAAAAAGCTGGCAGCCACTGTTAACCTTTAACAACCACTTTCTGCCTTAAGAGCAGACATCCTGGCAGTCACTGTGTACAGAGGTAGACTTTTAACAATGGTCTCCTGCCTCCCAGCTTCCCAGCTAGCCAGGTACGGCAGACCAAGGTTGGCTTCTAACTGCTGCCTCTATGGGACCCTCTGCCTTGTATTCCCTGAATTTTTAACTGTCCTCCTATGTGACTCTACTCTCTGCCTTGCATTCTTTCAGGGACAGTGAAAAATGGCTGTCAGCCAGAGGCTTTCACAAACATCCTCAGTTAACATCCTAATATCCTATAAACAAAAGTTGTGAAACTTACAATGTAATGTGATCCTAAGCCTGACCTCAAGGTTGTGGAGCTCTTTGACCACAGTTGGTGATGGATTTTATGGTAAGAGGAGGCCCCAAACCAGCCCGCATTGCCAGTCTCAGAAGCCCGAACTCTGGCTGTGGTCATGACTGCAGCTGATAAGCTTTTGTGCCCTTCGGAGATTTTTTTCTTTCCTGGAATAAAGCTTGCTTCTGCAACCCAGGACCCAACGTTTTTGGTGCCAAAACCTGGGACCTCATATAATCCTGGTTGGGAGGACACACCCCAGTCTCTAGCAAACTTTTTTTATTGGTTTTGGCCAACTGGTAACCTTTCTCTGGTTTCTGGTGTCCAGACGAAGGAAGGCTCAGTAAGAGTAGGCAGACACACCAAAGATCTCTGAGCAAAGGGAACCTGGACACTTCCACCCCTCCTCTGGCCCTTGGGTTGCTCATCTGTGGCCCTTGGGGATTGGTTTAGGGTTCCTGGTCCCTGCTCCCAGCGTTCTTCCTCCTGCATGTCTGTCAATTCTGTTTAATTGTCGTGTTATCAGTCTCTTTGTGGTGATTGTCAGTTAATTAATGTCTACTCTGGGTTAAGGTTCCACTGAGCCTCAGGCCCTTTTGGATCATGGTCTCTAATATCCAGGATTTCAGGAATACAACAGAAGTTTTTGCCAGCCTTCCCTGCTCCTCTCTGCCTCAGGAGTCCAGGCTCCCCAAGACAGTCGGGAGTGGGGGGCTCCTGTTTGTGCAAGCAGTGTTGGCAGCCAGGGAGAAGACCGCCTTTCCCCCTCCCCTCCCCTCAGATACCACAGCCCCTGGCCACAGGGCAGAGGTGACGGCAAGGCCAGTCACCGAAGGCGGCCACTGCCAGCTGTTTCTCGGGGACTATTATGTTTTAGATCTCACAAAATGACACGTGCTCCAAAGATGCACAATGAAAACCACCAGGGCTGACCAGTGGCGGGGGCAGATCCTGTCACCCTTCCCCCTGCCTAAAAATTCACCTGGAGAAAGTAAGAAAAGTTCATCTGGTTTATATACATACATACGGCCACTGAATCCTTATTCATAAATGTATGAGTCAACCATGTTCAATGCATCCTGGCTGTAGCCCTTACCGCCCAAACTTACAATTTACCTCTGGATGTTCAGTTATTATGTCTGACATAATAATAATAATAATAATCTTTTTATTTTTATTTTTAGAGACAGGGTTTCTCTGTGGAGCTTTGTAGACCAGGCTGGCCTCGAACTCACAGAGATCTGCCTGCCTCTGCCTCCCGAGTGCTGGGATGAAAGGTGTGTGCCACCACTGCCTCGCATAATAACAGTATCTTGAGATTAAACTATAATCTCTTATCTCAGGGCTTATAGATTGTTCATGAGATATAGGTTAAAATCTATATAATTTATAACAAAATTTGGCCTTAAACTTATAACAAAGGGCTTATAATTAAACTTCATACATGAAAGTAGATGGGTATGTATATATATATATGTATATATATGTATACATACATATATGGTTCAACTCCTGTTTAAGATATATATACACAAAGATGACTTAAATTTAACTCGCTATATGTATATATATAAACATGAACTGGATTTAATGATGTATAATATGATTATAATTTAGATCTAACTAATGCTTTAAAATATATATATATACATGTTATGTAACATTCCTTAGTCTTGATGAGTGAGCTCTCTGTGTATTATGTCTCCTCCTAGACTAAGAAAGCAACAAGTCTCAAATGTTTTAAACTAATATGAACTTTTATATGATGATAAAAATACATGGTTAAATGTATTATAACACGCTGTATATGTAATTCAGTTTTGGCTTAAAATATATTCTATGTAATGATAAAAATTTAAGGTTACACAGGCCTACTCAGATTAACAGAAGCTGACTTAGAGACTTACACCTAAATACTTATTCCTAAAGAATTTAAATAAATGACAACATAGATTTGATAAATAAAACCTATAATAAATAAGATACAGTCTATAATAAAATACCCGGTCCCCCAAGAGGGCCCCCTTTTCTCCCCAGAGCTGGGCATTTGGGCAGAGGCCCCACAGCTTGTCAAGGGCAACACTGGGGCTCCCTCAGCCTCCCCAGCTCACAAGCTCCCATTTTCACCCAGGGATCTCTCCCTTCTCACTCTTCTATGCCTTCCCAGGAGAGTCTTAACAACTTGGTACAAACATGTTCTGTTTTTACTCATGGAATGACTATTTTGGTTTCTTTATTAAAGCTATTATTTATGATTAATTTTTTTATTTTGATACTAAGAGAGCTTCAATTCAAAATAATTATTTTTAAAGTTAAACTTGCTAAATGAAATGTAAAGTCCTAGTCTAGCTGCTAACTTATCACAGACTGTCAAGGAACACAAGCTAATAGTCATCAAGTTTGTCTACTTAGATCTATCTAGGTAGTCCTCATATATTTCAGAAATCTAAAGAATATGGTATTCTAAAGAATATAATCAAAAAGCTTATATCAGACAGAGACTACCAGGACCTACCAGGGATCCAGGGTCTCCAAAGAAGACTGCAGGGCACCATGACATCTGTACCTGGATTATGGAAATGCTAAGTGCTGGGCAAGATGCCCCAATGCAACACCTGCTGCCAGGACCTGGCCCAGGCTGTGGACAAGCAGCAGGACACCGGAGAATTGATTGCACCCCTTTGCCTAGACAAAGTAATATAAGTCTTCTCCATGTCCCTCCTCCAGTCTCTCAATTTATGGGTCTGGCCAAGTCAGAGACTTTAAGATGATCAAAATGAATCAAAGATTTGAAACGAAGGGTCCAGGAATATGGACATATAATATTGTAAGCTCAAACAAAGAGCTGGCAGTCACTGTTAATCTTTAACAACCACTTTCTGCCTTAAGAGCAGACATCCTGGCAGTCACTGTGTACAGAGGTAGACTTTTTTAACAATGGTCTCCCACCTCCCAGCTTCCCAGCTAGGCAGGTACGGGAGACAAAGGTTGGCTTCCAACAACTGCCTCTATGGGACCCTCTGCGTTATGTTCCCTGAATTTTTAACTGTCCTGATACATGACTCTACTCTCTGCCTTGCATTCTTACAGGGACATTGAAAAGTGGCTGTGTCAGGCACATGCTTTTGCAAACATCCTTTCTATAGCTGCTTCAAACTGAAACAGGGTCCAGGAAGGCTGAAAGGTCAGTCAAAACTACGGAGTTGCAACCAGACACTGTCCTTCCACAGACACCATGTCTGTTAGTAACTGTCTCCACCAGCACCAAGTTCTGAGTGGATCCTCTCTACATAGATGCCAGGTTCTGAGAGGGAATTCTCCCTTTAGGTGCCAAGTTTTGTTAGGGTCAGCCTCGCTCCTCCAGGCTCCTGTTAGTGGATCCCATGCCTCTAAGGCCTGACAGTGGATCCAAATGCCCACCCACAAGAAAAAAAAGAATATATGAAGAAATGAGTTTACAGTCTTCTTCAAAGCTGAGAAATGCTCTACAGCTTGTCTATAGACTGGAGGAGCCAGAGCTAGGAACACATAGTGTGGCAGTCTCTCTCCTGGGAAAGTTGGGTTGCCAGAGCCCCTGTGGTGACCCATCTTCGTCCCAAGCATAGAGCTTTCCTGATGAGACCAGTGTGGTGGTTAATACCTGCAATCCTAGCACTTGGGAGCTGGAGAACTGGATTACATTGTGAATTCCTGGTCAGCATAGGCGACAGTGTCTCTGTCAGGTCCAAAGCCAGAATTCCTCAGGAACCTGTAAAGCAGTTCCCCTCTACCAAAGGAGCCATTTCCTTATCACTGGCAGAAGGGACAAATGGCTACTGGCGGTGCCTATTAGCATAACAAAGAGCATGCTGGCCTCTAGGCTCCCGCAGTGTCACAAGTACCTATTACACATTTCAGAGTCCATGCGAGCATCCCAGCCCTTCTCACCCCAACCCCTACCCTAAACTTCCCAAGCTCAGAAGCTTCTCCTCAGCTTCTCATTGTCCTCACAACCCTGCTATTTCTGCTGTCCCATGCTGTCTTCCTCTCTGTCCTCTTCCATCTTCATCCCTTGCTACCTCACCCCCAAGCCTCAAGGCCAAGCTCAGTCTATTTCTTTCTCTATGGACTCTCCCAGGTGCCTCTGGCTGTGCTCTCCCTCTGTCTACAATAAAAATCTTTCCTCCAATCATACTTCGGAGCAGACATGCCACCAGTTTTCAGACAGTCTCAAACAAACTTTGCCCTAGATAAATGGAAATTCCTAAGTCATTCTCGGAAGGTCCTGTAGCCTGCCTTTCCACAGCTCTCCTGAGAGGACAACTCTGCAAGGGTCTGCAGAAGCGCAGCTTCACTCCAACAGAAGGCAAAAGGTCAAGAGGGTAGGATTCTTCTTCCTGAGGTCTTATGACTCTCCCAGCTGCAGGCTTCTCCTGTCTTTGCAGGGCTGCTTGCAAGTCCAGAGTTGGGTGAAAGCCCTCTAGAAACTGTTTACCAGTCATGTGTGGTACTGGATGAGGTAGCCCAGCAGCCATGAGGCAGGGGCACCTTCCAGGGCCTTTAGACCCCAGGTCTTCCCCTTAAACAGCCTTCCCTACTCTGCTCTCCCTCCAGTTCACTGACCTTGGTCCCTCTCACCATTCTGGATTTTCCCTGAGGTCAGTCACAACTTCCAAGATTGCTGTGGGTGCTCTGATCTAAACCCAAGGTGTCCTCAAGGTTGGCTTGGAGCCAGCAAGAATGTGAGTAGCTCTGTCCCCATCTGGCCACTGTCTTCCCTTTGTTAGTCAACTGTTGATCTACCCCGAAGTTTAGGTAAGGAAGGAGAAAGGAACCACAAACAATGCAAAAATGAAACTACCTTCTTCCCGTCCTTCTGGTTTCCCCCCCTTGTTTTCTACAGTCCATAGTCGGGTAACAGAGTTCCGCCCCATCTCCACCCACTCCTTTTTTTTTTTTTTTAAAGAACAGCCAGTCCTAGCACTGTTTCCACTCCCTCCCACTTGGGACCTACAAAATCTTCATTCAGCTCAAAGACCAATTCTGCACTCCCTACATTGCAACACCCACACAGAGATCCCTACCACTGTGCACTGGGGAGGAGCTGCTGAGAACTCGTTATCAGGTGAGTGGCAGAGTAGGGTGGCCACCGCTGTCCTGCCCAGCTACAGGCCCCAATATTCAAGGTCAGCTAGCTCCTCCGTCTTGGTCAGTCTATCTGACCCCTGACTCTAGCCTCTCTGTTCTTTCCCCATACAAACCCTACCTCAGAAGAGCAGCTGTGGTTTGTCTGAGTCCCCTCTCTCCGCTGGCTGGTGTTAGAATCCTTTTTAATAGAAAATCTCTCCCTTGCAACAAGCTTAGTAGCTAAACTGGTTATGCTTGTCTCAGAGCAAAACAGGATTAACAGGTTTAGATGGTTTGAGGTATTTCTGAAGGTAATAGGAAGCCCAAGGAGGAAAAGTGGGTAGGGGCGGGCGCCCGTGTGCCATAGGCTAGCCATCCAGCTGCACCAGCAAGTATAAGAGACACATAGCTAGTGCCGGAGTTACCTGAGTACATGCCAAACACTGCATTGGTTCTACCTCAGAGCACTTAAATATCTGGACTATGCTTGGGCATCAAGGACATGGAAAGATCTGCAGGCGAGCTGCTATGTAGCCACAGTAGTAACTTTTGCTGGAGTAAGAGTTGCCTTTGATCCCAGGTTTACCTGCCACTTCGGTGAGATGCCAGAGCCTCAGGATCCCAATTTGTTTGTTTTTATTTTTTTTGGGGGGGGGGAACAGGGTGCTTTGGAGCCTGTTCTGGAACTTGCTCTGTAGACCAGGCTGGCCTCAAACTCACAGAGATCCGCCTGCTTTTGCCTCCTGAGTGCGGGAATTAAAGACATGCGCCACCATCGCCTGGCCAGGATCCAGATTTTAAAGCAAGAATTCAGCACAGTATTGTGAACTTGTTAGGGGAAAAAAATGAGTTTTCCTCTGTTCTCAATGCAGCGACATGGAGCTGATTGAGGATGTTTCCCGTCCACCCCTGGTGCATGTGAAGGGCATCCCACTCATCAAATATTTTGCAGAGGCTCTTGGACCACTGCAGAATTTCACACCCTGTCCTGATGACTTGCTTATCAGCACATACCCAAAGTCTGGTAAGCAATGGGGGTCCCCCTAACTTCATATAGACCTCAGTTTAGCAAGCAGGTCCAGACGCTGGGTCCTGCTCAGTTATTGCTCCCTTCTTTATAGGTACTACCTGGATTAGTGAGATCCTGGACATGATCTACCAGGGTGGCAAGCTAGAAAATTGTTGCCGTGCCCCCATCTATGCCCGGGTGCCCTTCCTTGAGTTTCAATGCCCAGGAATTCCCTCAGGTATGAGCACCGGTATGTTAGACACAAGTGGAGAGAGGTAGAACCAGGCCCCAGCTTAATAAAATTCTCTACTCAACTGTAGGTCTTGAATCTCTGAAAGAGACACCAGCCCCACGGCTCATTAAGACACATCTGCCCCTGTCCTTGCTCCCTCGGAGTCTGCTGGATCAGAAGATCAAGGTAAAAACAAACAAAACAAAAGCTGGTTGTGGTGGTACCTTCCAGCATTTGGGAAGTAGAGGCAGAAGGATCAGGAGTTTAGGGTTAGCCTTCACTACATTGCAAGTTCAAGACTAGTCTGAGCTGTATCTGATCCTGTTTCAAAAGCAGGAAAAAAGAAAGGGGAGGGGTAAAGTGAGCAGTTGCAAGGGTTCCTGGAGTCATCCTAGCTTTGATTTATTCTGCTGGGAATTATGGGGCTACTCAAGCCCTGTTTCATCTTGTATGGAGGATCTCTGGCTGTCACTCTGGCAGGGCTCACATAACAAGGCAAATGGAATTCTTCAGTGTAAACTAGAGATGCAGAGTCAAGGTGCTCACAGGACATAGATAAAGGGGTTGGTGGAACTCTGACCTGCTGTGTAGATGTGTTGACAATAAAGGAGTCAGATGAAATATAGTTTATGGAATAACCAGGACTTAGCCATCAAAGGTGTAATCTCCGGTCGGTGGCACCCTACCATGGAATCTCAACAAATCAACTTCTAGTCCTATTTTCTCTTCTGCCATCCCAAAAGGAAGTGCTGAGAGTTCTCAAGTGCTAGAAGGCATAGCACCTCACTGGGTCCTGTGGTGAAAGGAAAACAGGAGGAACCAGAACTAGGAATTGTCTGCCCCTGCAGGTGATCTACGTCGCCAGAAACGCAAAGGATGTGGCCGTCTCCTATTATAACTTCTACAACATGGCCAAGGTGCACCCTGAGCCTGGCACCTGGGACAGCTTCCTGAAGAACTTCATGGAAGGGAAAGGTGAATCTGGGTCTGTAAAGGAGGGGCTGGAGCTGAGGGGCACAGCTGGCGCTAACAAGGCCTGTGCCGGTGCCGTCCTCTTCCCCAGTGTCCTATGGGTCGTGGTTCCAGCACGTGAAGGAGTGGTGGGAACTGACACACACTCACCCTGTTCTCTATCTCTTCTATGAAGACATGAAGGAGGTGAGGCCGCCTGCTACCACTCCTCCTGTGTCACACAGGCAGGGACCTCACTCGCCTGGCCCTGAGCCCATCCCCACCCCAGCCCCACCCCAGACCAGCACCTCCCATCACCTCCTGGCTCAGGACTTTAGCACAGTTCAGCATTGCACGGCTCTTATCTTGGAGCAGCGCCAGTCATGTGCCAATACTGATCTGGTGGCTTGTTGCTCTGGCTTCTCCATGCTGCAGAGGTGCCAAGTCAGGGTACCAGGGACCAAAGTCTGTCCCTGTCCTCTCCCAGAACAAACCCATTGGGATCATGCCAAGATGGCAGGGTAGGAAACTACCTATTTTGCATCAGGGTAAGAGGCTCAGAGTCAAGGCATCAGGTCTGAAAATTCCTTGGTGAAGTGGCCCGCTCCCTGTGGGTGATCCCCCAACCTTATCCCAATGAGCATCCAGAGATCATCTCTATGCTCCAGAACCCCAAAAGGGAGATCAAGAAGATCCTAGAGTTTTTGGGACGCTCTCTGCCTGAGGAGATTGTGGATATCATTGTTCAGCATACATCCTTCAAGAAGATGAAGGAGAACCCTATGGCTAACTACACTACCCTCCCCTCTGAAATCATGGACCATGATGTTTCTCCCTTCATGAGGAAAGGTAGGTAGTAGCTTGGATGGATTTGGGGAAGGGAGGTCAGATGCAGCCAACAAAACCTGAAGTCACATGGGTCCTGTAGCTGCGATGCTACAGTCTCTCTGTCTCCCTCTTCAGGAATCACTGGGGACTGGAAAAACACCTTCACTGTGGCTCAGAATGAGTGTTTTGATGACCACTATGCTGAGAAGATGGCAGGCTGTGACCTCAAGTTCCGTTGCAGTCTGTAAGTGGAGATGGCTACACTGGGAATGAAGGTAGGCTGAAATAACCCATTATGACCTCAAGAATAAAATGTGATGCATCCCTGTTGTGTACCTACAGGAAATCTCAGCTCCGAGAATGAACAGGACTTGGGTAGTATCTGAATGAAGAGGGTTTTATGGACATGTGTCAGGAAAGCAATCGTCCGTAATCTGAAAAGGAACTCAAGCATGCAAGAACAGAAGACATAAACTGTATTTTACCTGAAAGAATAAATGTCACTGGGAGCTGACTGGGCCTTCTCCCTGCTGCGGCCATCAATCCCATGTGCCTGATGGAGAAGGGCAAGAAGGTCTGAAGCAGTGAGGCCCAGGAGACATGGTGAGAGGGAAGAGTATTTATTTGATTACAGGGACTCCTTTGTTGCCTTCTCCCATGAGGTCGGCAGTGGCAGACTCAAGCCTGCCAGCCAGCTTCACTTTTTCTTGGGCTCCTTACAAGCCACCACGTACCTCTGGGCCACATTGAGAGGAGGGGAGTAGCCATCTGCATAGGAGGTGTCTTCAAACAGGACTGAGTAGTCATCCTGAGGCTGTGGGCACACACAGGAAGGGCTGGTCAAGATGCTTCCAGGCCAGGGCAGCCCCTCTTTGCCCAGAGCCCCAGATGCACCTCCCTGCCTCTCCTGCTTTCCTCTCTACTCTGGAGTCAAGGGGTCTGGTGCTACCAGAAAGCCTATGTTTAGGAGATGAAGGACAAGAGGAGGGCAGCAAGCAGGCATTCTGAAGAATGATGGGGACCAACCCTTAAGGTTCTGATGTCATCAAAGGCCTTTCATGGTGGTTCCTTACCCGCTGTGGGGGGGTGTGGATCAGGGCACGGTAGAAGCAGGTGGTCTGGGGATACAGGGCCAGCACCAGCTGCTCCTTCTGAAACAAGGCCTCGGGGTCTGTCTCAGGGTTAGCTTTCCACTGGGGCAGTGGGATGATGCGCCGCCGACTCAGGGTGTGTCTCCTGGGGGAACAATATAGGCCATGACCAGGAGGCTTCTCCCAGAAGCGTGGTGACTGCACTGCTCCCCACCGGGACACTCACTCTTTGCCTTCTTCATCAATGTCGTCTACCTCATACCTGTGGGCAAACAAGAAGGAAACAGTGCTGGGACAAAGAGTGCAGTTTGCACCCAGGAGCAAGGATGAGAGCGGATGAAAAGGGGATGGAGAAGTTTGAGGGAGCGCTACCCAGCGCCCTTTGGGGGAAGTTTTCCTCTCGTGCTGCAGAGGCTGGAGCAGTGAGAATGCAAAGCCAGGCCCATACTCACTTGTTGGTAGCATGGCTGTAACTGACTACTTCAGCTAGGATCCACTGCTCATCCCCATCCACAGCCTTCACTCTAGCAGCCACCTTGTCTCCAGGTTTGGCCACATAGTCCCCTGAGGCTGGGATGGCTCCACAGAGGGGTGGGGGCCTGTGAGAGAAAGCCTGTTAGTCTGGCCCCCTGACACCAGCCCTCTCTGGCTAGTTCCTGCCCTCACTTGTCACCAGGCTTCCCGATCCAGAGGGGCAGGGTCATGGCTGACTGCTGCAGCAGTGTCATCAGCACCCCTCTGCGCATGGTCTTCCGTGGGGGCTCCGAGTCATTGTAGAGACCTGCGATCTTGGCCGCTGTGGGAAGCAAGTGAACCCCTGAGGCCAAGTGGATGGTGCCTGACCCAGTCATACCCCAGCAACTGCTCTGAGCTGGAGCATTTACACCAGGATCCCAAAACCAGCCATGCTCCTTCTTAAGGTCAGGAACTAACAGGCCTAACTCTAATGGGTGAGATGGCAGGACAGTAGCCACCATCATGGAGAGGAACTAAAAAGGAGGTTTTCCAGGATGCAGGTTACATTATGTTTCCTGATCAGAGTGCTGAACATATAAATGTGCTGGGTCAAGGAAATTCCTGGAATGAGATACTTCTGTGTATCTCCTTTCTACCAGTGTATGTAATTTTAGCAAAAGTTGCACAAATTATCTAGTGTGGATCCTTGGTCTCACCAGCCATAGCTCATCACACTCTTCAACTGAAAACAAAAACGGTAGCATGATCATGATATGGGGTAAAGAGTTGCATCTGGGACAAGACAGAAGTCAGGAAGCCAAGGCAATGGCACCTGAGGAGCCCTACAAGGTAGGGGGCTAAGCCAGCTTACATGTAGCCACCAAAGCATGCCACAGAGGGAGCAGCGGTAGGAAGGAGAGAGATGACCAGCCCTGGCTACAGTGTGAGTGGTGGGACAAAAATTCCTCGGTCTGGGCAGGTACTAAGCAAACTCTCTGCCTGTGAGTCTGTTTCAGACAGCTCTGTCGGGTGACTCCACCAACTTATGTCCCATGTTCCCCTGCCGAGGCCATGACTGCTTTCCCCCAAGCCCCCATCTTGCCTGGTCAAGGAATGCCCTGCAGTTTCTCTCACTCACCTATCCGCCTCTCTTCCAACAGAGACTTGATCTCAGCTATCTTATCCAGCGCTTTTCGGAGGATGCTAGGCAGGGAAGGGAGAAAAGAGTGCTGGGTGAGGCACTCAGCATGTGTTCGTCGGCAGTCTGGGCTCCCCAGACCAAGTCTATGCTGAAAACTACAGATCCCGTTGCATGTAGTGGCTGACACCTGCCATCCTACCATGTAGGAGGCTGCAGTAGGCCTGTAGTGAGTCTGATGCCATCTTAGCTACACAATGAGATCCGGGTTTACCTGGGCTAGAGTGAGATCTTGCTTCAAACCAAACAGGAGAGGCTATAGAGATGGCCCAGTGAGTTAAGTACCTGTTGTGAAAGCCTGAGCATCTGAGTTAGATTCCCATCACCCATCTGAGAACCAGACATGGTAGAGTGTGCCTGCCATCCCAACACTGGGTTACTATGGAAACAGCTGGATCCTTGGAGTTCACGGCCAAACAGCCTAGCCAAATCAATTAGTTCCAGGTTCAGTGAGAAACCCTGTCTCAAAAACTAAGGTGAACAATAATCAAGGAAGGCATCCATATCAACCACAGGCCTATGCACGCACTCTCACCCATGTGCATGCACACACATGCTGAGGACCTACACAAATATAAACTTTATGAAAATATATATGGCACATATATACACAAAATATTAATAAAAACAAAGAAAAAATAAAATAAACTATAGCCCCTAAATAGAAATAGGCACTATGCCTGATATCTCAGTTAACAGGTCTATATATGTCACAATAATATGGCAGTGGTCATGCCACTGATTTAGAAATTTACTAAGGCTGGAGAGATGGCTCAGCAGTTAAGAGCACTGACTGCTCTTCTAAAGGTCCTGAGTTCAGTTCCCAGGACCCACATGGTGACTCATAACCACCTATAATGGGATCTGATGCCCTCTTCTGGCATGCAGATTTATATGCAGATGAAGCACTCCTATACATAAAATACATAAATCATAAATAAACAAACAAACCAATAAAATTTAGCTGGGTAGTGGTGGTGCATGCTTTTAATCACCGTACTTGGAGGGCACAGGCAGGTTTATCTCTGAGTTTGAGGCCAGCCTGGTCTACAGGACAGCCAAGGCTACACAGAGAAACCCTATCTCAAAAAAACAGAACAAACAAAACAAAAAACCCAAACCAAAACAAACAAAACTTACTACGTTATACTTTTGACAAAATACATGTGACACTGGTAGCTACATTATACATTTTATGTTCACAGAATGTCTTTATTGTCTAAGAGGCGACAGTGAGGGTCAGTGCATCTAAGTTTGTATCAATGCTATGATGTTCGCAGTGGGATTCATCAATGACAGGTCTCAGAATATTAATTAACCAATGACTGAATTTTTTTCAGTGCTCATGGAAGAACCAAGGGCCACCTGAAAGCTAGGCAAGTGCTCTACCTCTAAGTGACATCCTCAGCCCTGTTTGTAACTGTGAAAGCACATATGGCAAGGTGGCAGGAAGCGGCAGGACAACCCCTTGAGAAAGCAGGTGCACTGAGGTCACTGCCCTATTCCGTAGAAACCCTGCCAAAGCTCTGACTCCATCCTGAGATGACAGGAATGCAAGTTCAGATTGAGTATGCCTGCTGTGTCTCTAATAGATGCATGTGCTTGAGCAGGTGCTCCTCAGTTGGTGGAGCTTTTTGCAGAGTTGTGGATCTTGCTAAAGGAAGTGGGCTGGTGAGGGGCAGGTCTCATGTGTTCTGGCCTGAGCTCTCTGCTTCCTCAGTACAACGAAGCTCCGGGGCCGTTCTAGGTAGCTGAGGGAGAAGCAGAATCCCAGGGGCCTAGAGAGACCAGGCAAGCTCATAGTAGCCCCTGTAAGACTGAAACAATTCCCACTCCTGTGGAGTCCTGTAGCCTGAACCTCTAAAAGTCAATTTACAGAGGGGTTTCAGGATGGCAGGCAGGCCAGCAGTGGATATCACTGCACAGGTTCTCTAAGTCTCCCAGAAAAGACTTCAACCTTAATCAGTAGGAACAATGCCACTGTGGGTCATTTTATTCAGTTTCCACAGCAAACCCTTTGCAAAGCTTTAGCTTGGGAGTGCAAAGACTCAAGACAGTGAGGCACCCAGAAAGCAGACAAAGAATGATAGCCAGGAGGCCAAAGATACTGTGAAAAGGCAGATACTGCTGTTGGGCCTGTTTGGAGGATGTAGTAGTTGCGTCCTACATTCAAAGTTGCAGTCTACATGACATCCAAAGAAATAGCAACAACAAAAATCACCAAGAACCCAGCCTAATGCTTCAGGGAAACAAAACAAAACAAAACAAAGTGATATGCAAACTAATTGGTGACATGAAATGGAACATCCAAACAGTCACAAAGCATCTCCCCATAAGTCACTTGCTGATTATACAGCAAAAAACAGAAACCTGGGAGATCCCAAATCAAGTAATGAGACATAGTATCTGGGCCTTCTAATAGAAGGCTGCTACTGTGTTACCAATGCCTGAAATGTCAAACCTGAATCTAGAAGTCAGGAAGCAGTAAATACACTCACGGGAGGAACACGCTACAGAATAACTAACCTATAATATAAACCTTCAAAATGGCTAAGAGAGAGTGAAAACTGATCAGATCAAAGAAGACTGGACCTCAATGGAGATCTGCACTAAAACAGGGCCTCTTTCATGATGAAATATGAATAAGCTCTCTGGGTCACAGTTTTATATTTGAACTGATATCCTAATTTACATGAAATATAACAAACACTATGATGTTTATTACTACTTATCACCCACATGAATTCAGTAACACCCAGTGCGTTGGCTTTGTCTGACCTACATGGAGTAGCTTCATCTCTCTTGTTTGCTTTCTCTCTCTCAGCTGCTGGGTTGGGAAGGTCTGGCTGTGTTTATAGTGTGACAAAAATCTGAATTAGCAAAAGGATTTCAATGCAGGCCCATGTTTACCAAACAGGCTTCTAAGTGTTGAATGCTGGGTAAGTCGTGCCAGAGTCATTCCATCCCAAACTTGTTTGAGTCTTCACTCTGCTAGCAGTTAGGACAGAAAGGGCAGTTTACTTTTTACTCTCAAATGAAGGTCTGGGGGTGTAACTCAGTGGTACAGAGCTTGCCTACTACACATAAGGCGCTGGGTCCTCTGCACTATGAAAGGAAAAACACAAAGCCCAGATAAACAAACACGTGCAGCACTGACTTATGCAAGCGACTCCAGCTCAGGTGAGTGGGAAGGGCAAGGCATTCCTAATTCATTCTGTTTCTTCTCCAGGAGTAGAGCCTACTCTTCCGTTCTGTGGCTCAGCTCACATCCAGCTAGAAACTCTGCCATCTTGAACCTCCTCCTGCCAGAGTTCTCTACATCGGTCTCAAACACTGCTGCTCTCGAACTGGGTTTTGCTCTCCATACTTCTCCATGTTCCACTCATTTCCACCTCCACTGGCTTTGATCCTCTTCCGATTCTTTTTTATGGCAACTTGAAGGCTTCATTGACTCCAGAGGCCTCTAGAGTGAGCACTCACAAGAGTAGAGTAGGCTACTCTTGTCCTTACCCCACAGCTGCGTCCTTAGGGACCCTCGGCCTGCAGCCATTATTAAAAACAGCAGACTAAGATTTATTAGGAAGGTTTAAGATTAATTTTCTGCCTATAACTTGCATTAAAAAGTGAGGAAAATTGACTACACATAATGACACATTAAATGTAACTTCTGTCAGAACCCTGTGACATGTATTCATTTAAAATAAGTAGAGCTGGCCGGGCAGTGGTGGCGCACGCCTTTAATCCCAGCACTCGGGAGGCAGAGGCAGGTGGATCTCTGTGAGTTCGAGGCCAGCCTGGTCTACAGAGCGAGTTCCAGGACAGCCTCTAAAACAATACAGAGAAACCCTGTCTTGAAAAACAAAAAAAAACAAAAAACAAACAAACAAAAAAGTAGAGCTGTAGAAAGGCCCTGTTCAGCTTCCAGCAGTGTACTAACTATAGACTTCTGCCTTAGGAACCAGGTTTCCCCATTTACTAGTTTTGTGAGTTTTGGCAGATTTTATTATCGCTCTATGAGTCAGTTTCCTTAACAGTAAATGGGGACAATACTAAAACTACATCAAAGGAATGTTTTGAGGGTCAAGCGAAGTAAATAAACACAAAGTATTTGGGCCAGGTATGGTGGTGGAACACGTCTTTAATCCCAGTACTAGGGAGGCAAAGGCAGGTCAATCTCTGTTAGTTGGAGGCCAGCCTGGTCTACATAGTGAGTTCCAGGCCAACAAGAGCAACATTGTGGGACTCTGTTTCAAAAAATAAAAAAAATTCAGAAAGTACTTGGAATGGTAACAGAGTTCAGCAGTGCTATGTAGTGGTCCCTGTTACCATTACACACAGCAGTGTCAGACAGTGATGTCTGTTACCATTACAGGCTGCAATAGTCAGCATATTCCCATGGCAGGGGAGGGTCAGAACAGTTTATAGAATCTGGCATGCTTTCCACATAATCCCACTGTATGTTCACAATCCGGTAGGGAGTTATTACCCTGATTTTAATGACAAAGCAACGGGTCTGCCAGGTCATATGACTAGGAAATGGTATGCAGGGACATTGATACTGCTTTACTGTCATCTATAAAGCAGCAAGCTAAAGGAGAAGAATGGGTAAAGAAGGAAGAGCTTGGGAAGGTTAAATAATGGGAGAGGCAGAGCAGGAGGACCCTCTTCACAGAGAGGCAAGCTGGGGCTGTGGCCTCAGGGATATGTGGTCCAGCACTACCTCAGGGAACGGAGCAGCAACAGCCCTGTGGGTGGTACTCACTTGCACTCAGCCTCTGCATCAGCCTTGGCGGTTGTGTAGAGGCCACGCAGCTTTGTCCGGTAATAAGGAGAAACTGTAAATACAAGCATGAGAAGGCGTGAGCAGCGGAGGTGGCAGCATGTAACCTTGATTCCAGGACCTCAGAGGCCAAGGCCTGAGCTTTACGAGTTCAAACATGCTCCTGGGACGTTAGTAAGATGGTTCAGTATGCAAACTACTTGCCTTGAAAGTACCAGGAACCAAGCTCTATTATCAGAACCTAAGTAAAAAAAAAAAAAAAAAAAAGCCAGGCATCCCAGATGTGGTAGCATTTTCTTTAATCTCAGCACTTGATATGTAGATTAGGCTGGTCTCGAACTCACAGAGATCCACCTGCTTCTGCCTCCTGAATGCTGGGATTAAAGGAGTGAACCTCCAACGCCTAGCTGCCACCACCATTCTTTAAAAGCACTTTCTAACCTGCCACCTGTCCACACAATGACCAAGGAGAAGCAAGTACTGTCTAAAGCTATTCTGAGTTAGAAATCACCAGGCACAGGGAGTGAACTGCCTTGGGGCATATGCAGATGCCATGGGGGAAGTCTGCTCCAGAAAAGCCCATGCCCATGAGCTCTAAGGTAAGGGAGAGTTTTACTGTATTCAAGGCTGCCTTTCCAGTTTGAGCTGAGAGACTCTGAGGTTCTTTGGAGAAAGGCTGTCTGTCATCAGTCCCTGTCACTTTAGGTCATTCAGACAAAGGAACAATGACCCTAAAGAGCAACTTTGGGATATGCAGATACATGCAAAAATACTCTATGAAGACACAGTAAGGCCATGTTCCTGGTCTTAGCCCTTCCCACCTCCTTTCTCTCCTGCCCTCGGATACTCACTCTTGTTCTCAGTCTGCATTCGCTCGTGAGTTTTCTGGATGTTCACCAAGTTGTGCTCACTCCTCGAACGTTCCTCCTGGAAGGATGAGGTCAAGAGACCATGAGGTAGATCCTTTACCTTAACAAAAGCCCACTGTTTACACAAAGACTCCCTCTGCGTTATACTGTCCTGTGGGTTTTGACAGATGCTTTGGCTATATATCTATCATTACACTATCATACACAAGAGTCCCACCTCCCTAGGCATCTTCCACGCTCCTCTTACCCTTGCATCCCACCCCAACTATCCCAAGGCTCTGCCAATAACATTCTTTTACTTTTATTTTCTCTAGTTTGTCTTTCTTGGAATTTGTCACACAGTTGGAATGAAGCATATAAAATGTAACCTACTGGGATCTTTCATTTAGCAAATATGCACCAATAGTTTATGATTCTTATTTTTCAAGCTATACCAACTCATATGTTCTGGAGAGGAATTTCTCCCTACTGGTTCACTAGACCATGTAGTTCAGCAGAACAACCAGTGTGTGACTGACTATAAACATCAATAAGCTGGACATGGTGGCACGCACCTTTAATCCCAGCACTTGGGAGGCAGATAGGTCACTCTGAGTTCTGGGCCAGCCTGGTTTACTTAGCAAGTTCCAGGCCAACCAGAGCTACATAGAGACCCTGTTTCAAAAAAGCAAAACACACACACACACTTCAACGAGCAAATGCTTGGAATGGTAACAATGGACAAAACAGAGCAATGGCAGGCTCAACATGTCCTGGTATGCTACAGGCACAAACACATACTATGCTTTATTTGTGAATGAAAGGAAAGCTATTTTAATATACAGCAGGAAATGAGGGTTAGAGCACTGGGGGCTGAAGAGATGGCTCAGTGGTTAAGTGCACTGGCTGCTATCCCAGAGGACCCAGGTTCTAGTCCTAGCACCCATACGGCAGCTCACGACTGTCTATAACTAGAGCTCCAAGCAATCTGATAACCTCTTCTGGTTTCTAGGGGCACCCGCTATGCATGTAGTGAACAGACATACATGCAAGGACTCACTCATAATCATAAAATAAAAATTAGTCTGGAAAAAAAAGTAGAGTATCACCCAGCAGATCCAATTCCTTGGTACTATATGCAGGACAAATAAATACACATGTGACTATCACCTTTCAGTCCTAGAATGTGGCACTGTACCTTTTCTGGTATGAAACTTTACTATACCTATGCTATCAGTATACATCTGCAACATGAGTGGCAGAGTAAACACTGACCCACAGACAGAAAGGGCTTTAGGAAGAAGCAGGTGATGGTCTGCGTCTTGTGGGATAAGACAAAATTCAAGATGAATGAGGAGCTGCATTCAGAGGAAAAGTATTTGTTAATTAGAATAAGAAGATCAAATGAGTTCTCTTATAGGAAAAAGGCCAGTGGAAGCCAATCTAGAAATAGGGAGGGCCTCTAGAGTCAGGCAGGACCAGCAAAAATGCTAAAACCATCTATCATGGGGAAAGAAAGGCCTTAAACACTGACCCAACGGAGCAGAGCTATTTTGAGCAGACAGAGGCCTTCCACTCTCATTGCTATAGCCCACAGGCACACTTATGGTAGTCTGTGTGTGGCCTCCATGGTACTTGTAATACAGTGATACGCATGACCACACCTGAATCTGTAACAGAGCAGCCTAAGCTACGTCCTGAAGCACTGTCAATACACAATAAGAATTATTCTAAATAATGCCTGTGTCTGTCTCAAGGGAAGGTGGTAGACTTTAGTATGTAGTATCATGGGGCTTTGTTTTCAACTGAGCTACAGCCCAGAAGTAGACAGCCAATGGCTAGGGTAGTAATCTGGGCAGCAGAGGGTTAACAGGTTAAACTCAGCAGACTGGGTTGTCTAAACCCCACACATTTTAAAGTGCTTTATCCTTTGACTAGATCCTGGAAGTTAACTAGAAATCTTGTGACTGTCTTGCCTAGTAAGAATATCTGTGTTTACTTGGAGTTTGGGGATGGAAGAAGAGTGATGGCTAATGCGTACGGGTCTAAAACTGATCGTGGTGACAGTCATACAACTAAATTCCTAAAAATCACTGAATTGTATACTTTCAATAGGAACCTTGTGTTGTATTTGATCAGCCTTTGGACAGCTGTTAAACAAAAAGAACCCTGAAATCTCGTACTTGACAGAAAACCCCACAGGAATGGCAGTCAGACACAAGACTCCCTCCTATCTTTACAATACCTCGGCTCATGAAGGTCTCTCTGAACATAAATAACCCCACCTCCCCACCCCTTACCGCCATACCCACGCACTTCGCTCCTACCTGGGTTTGCTTGATCAGCTGATGGAGCTCTGTGAGAAGCTCTGCAATTCGGGAATCAGCAGACACGAGGGCCATGGGATGGGCCTATGAAGGACATCTGGTGAGAGGGAAGAATGGAGGGAAAGTTGTCATTGTTGAGCTGTATTTCTGACATGTGAAGCCCTAACCCTTGGTATGTCTGAATGATGTATTTGGAAACATGGCCTTTGCAGATGCAAATCAAAAGTAAGATGCAACCTTAACCTGGAATGACAGTATCCTTGTAAGAGACAAACATGTCCAGCAGTGGTCGTGCATGCCTTTAGTTCCAGCACTCAGACGGCAGGGGCAGGGGGACCTCTTTGAGTTTGAGGCAAACCTAGTCTACAGAGCAAGTTCCAGGACAGTCTCCAAAGCAATACAGAGAAACCCTGTCTCAAAAAACAAAACCAACCAACCAACCAAACGAGACAAAGGAAAGGTAACTACAGAGGCAGAGACTGGAATGACACAGCAAGCACCACCACACTCTACCTTAAATAAGACTTTATATGAAGATGATTTCCATGTCAAAGGGCCATTATTTCCTTACTAAAGAGGAAAAAGAAATTACTAAAAAAATATTTTCAAGGTAAGGTAAATATAAAATAAAATATTTTGAATAACAAAAAGTAATTAGAAAAATAGAAGATGACCAAAAAAGGTAAAAAGAAAGTTATGACTAGTTGAAGATAGACACATCTAAAATAAAAGTTTACTGGATGAGAAGTTTTTTGGGGGGAAGGGTTGCTGGAATTTTGTATAATACCCTCCTCTTAGAAGGGTTATTCTGGTGCCAGCCATGGTGGTAGATACCTGAAATTCTATCTTCTCAGGAGGCACAGGGAAAAATTCCATGTTCCAGACCAGACTAACCTACATAAAAACTTATTTCAAAAGAGGGAACAACAAATACTGGAGGTATTGTAGTGTGGTGATCCACATTTGACTCAGGGTCCATCTGGAGTCTATTCTGATTTTTTTTTTTTTTTTTTTTTTTTTTTTGGTTTTTACGAGATAAGATTTCTCTGTATTGTTTTGGAGGCTGTTGGTCCCGCCCGGCCTCGAACTCACAGAGATCCACCTGCCTCTTCCTCCCGAGTGCTGGGATTAAAGGCGTGCGCCACCAACGCCCAGTGACAGTTATTCTTGAATCTTCAGTTACGATACAATTTACATGACATAGTTAGTCTATTACTTGAATGCCACTCTGTAATTGTAAAACAAATATGGCTATTCAGGGCTAGATTTAGATCAGTGGTACAGTGCTTGTCTAGCATGCTCAAAGTCCTGGGCTCCCTGTTTGTTTTTTTAATTAAAAATTTTGTCATCTTATTTTATATATATGGGTAATTTTCTTATATCTGTATCTATGTACCGTGTGTGTGCCTGATTCAGGCAGATGCCAGAAAGAGAGCACCAGGTCCCTTGAACTGGAGTTATAAAGGGTTGTTAGCCGTCGTGTAGGTGCTGGAATTGAACCTGGGTCCTCTGGAAGAACAGTTAGAGCTCTTCTGCTGTTCTGTTGAGCCACTGCTCTAACCCCTCTTTTCTTTTTCTTTTTTTCTTTTCTTTTTTTTTTTTTGAGACAGTTGTGTTACATAGCCAGGTTCAACTAGAACTCATGCTGTGGTCTACAATGTTCTTGAATCTGCCTGTTCTGCCTCCTGAGGGCTGAGATTACTTACAGGTATATGCCATCATTCCTGGCCAAGGTTGATCCCCTACACTGAGTTCAGGAGAACTAAGTAAGGACTGGTGAGACAGTGGGTAAAACTGTTTGGTGCACAGGCATACTGTCCTAAGCTTAGATTCCCAGAACCCATGTAAAAGCTGGAGGCAGTAGTGTGAGTGCCTGTTGTCCTCGCATACCTACAGAAAGGGAGAGACTGGACAGGAGAACCTCAAGGAGCATGCACAGCACAGAACAGGCCAGTACAACCTGGTTTATATTGCCAGAGAGACCCTGTCTCAAGGTGGGAACATAAGCACCCAAAGATTATACACATGGTATGCATTCACCACTTACATATCTGTTACATACACTCATAAATAAATGGAGAGGAGGGGTCCTGTTAAATTTCATTTCCTTCCTCCCCACCTCCCCCCCCCCCGTCTCTTGGTATTTTTCAAAACAGGATTTCTCTGTAGTTTTAGAGCCTGTCCTAGAACCTGCTCTGTAGACCAGATGGCTTCGAACTCACAGAGATCCATCTGCCTCTGCCTCCTAAGTGCTGGGATTAAAGGCGTGAGCCACCAGAGCTTGGCTAGATTTCATTTTCATGGATGAGAAGACAGAATAGTGTTCAGACAGCAACACTCCCCAGCTGATCTACAGGACTCAGTGTGATCCCAGTCAAAATCCAACTGGCTTCTCACCAATTAACAAACATCCTAAAATTCACACAAAAAATTCACAGGACCTAAAATCATCTTGAGAATTTGGGCAAACCTGAAGGACTAATGTTTCACAATTACAAAGCCCAGCAGGAAACCAACCATTAGAGGTGGTGTGGAACTATCTTGGTAAGGACTTCCATTACTTTGCCGGGCGTTGGTGGCGCACGCCTTTAATCCCAGCACTCGGGAGGCAGAGGCAGGCGGATCTCTGTGAGTTCGAGGCTGGGCTGGACCGACAGCCTCCAAAACAGAGAAACCCTGTCTCGTAAAACCAAAAAAAAAAAAAAAAAAAGCAATCTGGGGAGGCGAGGCTTATTTCAGTTTACAGAAGGGCAGTCAGGGCAGGAACTCAACTCTGAATCAGAGGCCATGAATGAATGATGCTTGCAAGCTTGTCAGCCTGCTTCCTTATACAGCCTATCACAAATAATCACTAAAGGCCAATCTTATGGAGGCATTTTCTCAATTGTGGTTCCCTCTTCTCAGATTACTCTAGCTTGTTTCAAGTTGACAAAAAAGCAAACAAAAAAACAACAAAACAAACCATCTAGTACAACTGAACCCTCACCAATCTGACACACAAATCATATCACTATTCAAGTCTAACTTTCCTTGTTCACACACAAAGATCTCATATTAACATCAGCATCTCAAAATAAAATACATTGCAAACTAAAAGGCCCATGTAGCACAAATTCTAGTTGGTATTAATAATAAAAATCCAGGGACAGATATTGGGGTTAAAACTGAAGATCAGAAAAGCAAAGCAGCCAGCCACTAGAGTTCTCACCGCTACCGATGCTCAAACTAAACTGACAGGGTGACCCTGTCCTCAGACTGCATCTTCAGACTGCACTGCTCCTCAGACTGCACTGTCTCCACTAAACCTCAGATTGCCCTGAGCTTCTGTCTCCTCCTGATTTATATTCCTCTCTAGTGCTGGGATCACCTTTGTGTGAACTCTGTTTCTTTTTAGTCTGGATCAATTTCGTGTAGCTCAGGATGGCATTGGATTAACAGAGATCAGTCAGCCTCTGTCTCCCGAGTGCTGGGATGAAAGGTGTGTGCCACCACTGCCTGGCTTCTAGTGTGGCTGCTGGGATTAAAGGTATGTGCCACCATGGCCTCTGTGGCTAATTAGTGTGGCTAACTTTGCATTCTGGTCTTCAGACAAGCTGTATTTTCTAGATCATAAACAAAATATTACCACAGTCCCACAGTCCTTTAAAAAAAGTTTTTTCTTTGAGACAAGGTTTCTCTGTATAGTTCTGGCTGTCTTGGAACCCACTTTATAGACTATGTTGGCCTCAAACTTAACAATCTGCCCACCTTTGTCTCGAGTGCTGGGAGTAAAGACAAATGCCACCATGTCTATCATGAATATATGTATCCATGTATATATACACACACACATATACATATATGTAAAGATTTATCTATTCTGAATAGAATGTTCTGTCTGCATGTTTGCCTGCACACCAGAAGAGATCTCATTATAGATGGCTATGAGCCACCATGTAGTTGCTAGAAATTGAACTCGGGTCCTCTAGAAGAGTGGTCAATGCTCTTAACCTCTAAGCCATTTCTCCAGCCCTGAAAGAATTTTTTAAAAATTTTTTATGGGAACCCACAGTTAAGAGACAATGGAATATTAGACATTTGATTTTTTTTTTCTCAAGACAGCAAGAAGGATGGTTCATTGTACACAAGTTGCAAGGGACAGGGTTGCAATGTATAGGCCCAGGAATTCCCTCCCAGCTCCCTCCTGGAAGTTCTGCAGCTTCTCTATGCTCTCCTTGGCCTGCACTGCTATACTGTGACCCTTCCCTCGCCTTCCTCTCAGAGCCGCCTGATCTGTCTCTTCCTTACACCCTCCTGGGCCTCTACAATACTGGACTCCTCTCTCGGGTGGAGCTCCTTAAGCATCACTCCTTCTGTCTCTCGGTTCCCTCCTGGAGTCTCACTGCTTCCTTATTGGCTCTGGGCCTCTAGGTTCCTTACATCCTCCTGGACCTTATATGACCCTTTTCTTCTTCACTGGACCCAGAGATTTCATTAAAGCTTCATTGTCTTCCTGAAAATGGCTCGGTCTCAGGACAGCTCAATCAATGGCCAAAGACGGCACACTCAATTATCAAATTCTCTCATAAGGCAACAACCTCTGCAACTGTACAAACAGATGATCCCAAACTCTCATGATGTGTACAAGATGGTGTGTTGACATCTAAGGTCCATAACAGACAGCACGTGAAAACTGAGAAAACTTGCGAGTGATCCTTAAAAGATGGTGTGAGAAACACAAGAAAACTCGTGAGCCGTATGAAATTTGTTAATAGATAATGGTCCCCAAACTCTTCAGAGATCTAGTAAATATGGCGTTTAAAGTTTTAATAAAAAAAAAGCTTCCTGTGGTAGACAGAAATGCCAGCTCCTAGCAGTGACCCCGAGGTCTCCAAAGGAGTTGTCCTCAAGGCACGGACGACTCCACCTGGATTGTGGTAAAGCTAACCACTAGAAAATGAACTGCCCCATGCCTCACCCACTGCCAGGGCTCTGCCCAAATTGTAGACAATTTGTTGGGTTGACTGCTCAACTCTGCTGTATCAAAGTAGGTCAGTTTTTCCAAGTTCCTCCTCCACAGGAAAAACTAAGACCTTCTGGGTCTGGCAGCTGAAGGCT